AGGATGCTGGCTGACTTCCTGCAGTACCAGCAAACAACCCAGTTCTCAATTCGGCTCCCTTTCCTTTAAGGTTGGCATATTGGGATTTTGGAGCTGATCAGCATTCCAGCTGATGCGTTGCGGATGAATTCTGAAAGCATCGGTCAAACTACAAAGAATGCGATTGTTCAACTATTAAAACTATTTTTCTATATAGGCTTTGTACTTTTAGGAATGCGTACAAGAAAAATCGTTTCGATATCTGAAGTAGCTCTCGAGCTATAGGTGAATGTGTCGACCAGTCTCCGAGCTCGAAATACTGCGCAAATTAACTTTAAATTCGCTTTTCTCAAAAGCGTGTCAAATCTATTTAAAATTTTTGTTTGTTTTTTTTTTAGGTGAAAAGAGTTTGTTTTTTAAGTTGCTGGACGAAAATCGTTCTATAAGTGGTAAATGATGATAAGTAAGATTAAGCGCAGACTAAAAAAAATATTTCTTCTTCTTGGTATTAAACTACGGTAGGTCGGTCAAATTATCTGAACAAAATCTAGCAAAAAATGGAAACAAGAAAAAATAATTTGTCCCCATCACAAGAGCGATTAAGGGCTTACTATATTTATAATTAAACATTTTTTGACCCCTCTTCAAACTATACACCAAAATATTAGCATAAAGCAGTGTTGGCCAACTGAAGCTGAGTGAGAACGACATGTTAAAATCTGTTCGTACGAGTGATTTGCTCTGCGAAACTTGTCGAAGTGTTAGTGCTGACCGCTCTTCTGTTCTGTGTGTGTGAACTGATCAGTGGCAGTTCTTCAGAAGCAGTGGCAGAGGGATTCGTGCAAGCCCGCGGGCCGAGAGCGCTGCTTCTGCTTTTACTGTACGAGCAACGCGTATAATTAATAGCCTGCTTCTAACTGTAAAATACATTTTTTTGTTATAAATTTATTAAATAACATTAAGTCCCTGGAATAATTTAATATCCTTAAAGCAGAGTTTAAAGCAAGTTTTCCTTTTGCTGACACAGTTGTTTATGTACAGATATTCACTTAACACATTTTACACTCGGCGCCGCTCCATAGCTGTCTCTCTCATGTGCATCTGTTTTTATTCCTCTTATTTGTAAAGCGTTTTCAGTTGTTATTTTTTGTAGCTTATCCATTGGTATTTTCAAGTAATTTTTCACGCATTTCTGTGGCTGCTTTGCGCCTCATTTTTCACGCCTGTCCATGTGTCTGTAAGTGTTTATGTCTGTTGTGTGTGTGCGTGTTAAGCTGCTTAAATGATTTTGTCGCTTCCTTTTGCAACATTTGCCATTTTTTCGTGCTGTGTGCTCGTGTTTCAGTCGCTGCTTTTCTGCATTTACGACACTTAAATTGTAAATAATGCCGATTTGGTTAGCTCAGCATGAAAGAGACGGCTACAGGAACTGTCGAAAGAGACGGGCGATTGGAAGCCCCAGTGTTCACTTCTCGAGTGTGCAATGGCCAAAGCCACTTGCCTTCGTGAACAAATTTGCATTAAAACGGCTTATGTGCCCAATTTTTCCTCCCTTTCCATCATATTGTCCACTCCACCCATTGTTTAAATGTATTTTTAAATTAAGTTGATTTCGTTTTCATTAAGTGAGCGGCATAAACAAAATTGTAAAAGCAAGAGAAAACGCGTAATAGTCCCCTTACTTAGCTAAAGGGAGTTCGAGAAGGATGGAGATATATTTGCTGCAAATATGCTTTTTTCATTTACACTCCGCCCCTAGCGGCTTGGTGGTGTAATAGTGAATGAATGAATTGCAAAATATTAATTATTCTTTGCTTATATTTGTGGGCGTTACAGTGGGCGTGGCACCCTGTTGAAACTTGCGATGCGCAGGAAGCCCAAGAATCTGCATGCCAAGTCCCAGCATTCTAGCACTTATAATTTCCGAGATTTAAGCGTTTATACGGACAGACGGACATGGCTAAATTGACTCGGCTTGTGATCCTGACCGAGAACATATATACTTTATGGTATCAGAAACGCTTCCTTCCACATGTTACACACTTTCCGACGAATCTAGTATATTCTTTTACTGTACGATTAACTGGTATAAATACCGGGATTGGTAGAATGTGTTTTTTTCTCAAAAGAAATATGACTTAAAATAAATAAATATGTCTGGATTGATAGTGAAGTATTCCTTATCTCCTGATTGACTTTCTTTTAGGAAAATGAGACTTGGACTTTTTACTTCAGCAATGCTAGGTTTATCAATATTCATTTTCCCAAGCGCAGCGGTTGCAACTGCTAAACAAGGCACTGCAGTTTTTGAAATACGATCCAATCAGAGAGGTTTATATTTTGTGTTATAACTTTTCTACCTAATACTGTATATTTCCCGCATTTTTGTCTGGTAAATGCCAGTTTCGAAGTTATCTTCAAAAAAACAGTGTGCAATTATCTTTATTATACATAATAATTAATTTAAAATTACTTTACAAAATACATTTTTTTTGTTAAGAATTATAATGATAATAAAATATAAAATTACAATTTCACTTAACAAATGAAAAACAAAAAACTGGAATATTTGTTTAAATTAAATTTGGTCTTTTATAATAAAAAAGTTAAGAAATTTTTTTTTTATTTTATTGACAGTACAAAAAATATTTTTTAGAAGGGCGGGTCCACATCTTTTTTTTATTTTAATTCCTATAAGTTTTACATAACTAATTCAAAAAATAAAACATTTAAATGTTGCTTCGTTTTTAAGTTATAAATTAATGCCACAAAAAGTGGTCAAATTTTCCATAGTGTGTTGGTAGCTACCAATTAGCGAAAAACACACATCAGCTGCCCTGTGGAAACTACTCAAACAATTAAAGACAAACTTTCATATACATGCCAAATTTTATAGCAATAAAGCCAATTCTTCAATGATCTTTAAATTAAACTTCGGTAGTAGGGCACAAAGTAACCACCTTGTTTTGGATTTATATTTTAATTATATATGCGAAAGATACAAATTCATAAAATAATTAATTTATTAACGTGAAGTAACTTTTTTGGTCATAAGTGCGCCCAAAGTAAGTACGTTCTTTTATATGATAAAAGCCAACAATGTGACAAGCAAATATTTCATTAGTTCACCTATGCATGTCAGAAAATAGTCATAAATAAAAGTACCTTTTGTAACAAAAGTTTTAATTTAATACACTTTCATTAAAATCATTGGGTAATATTTCTTTTCAAACGATTTCACAAAGCGAGGAAAAAAACGTTGCACCGTTTATATATATTTTTCCACCTATGTTATAGCGCGCTGATGAAAGGACAGGGTTTTTTGTTTTAAGCTAAACTTTTTGGCTTATTTTTCATCACACAGCAAAACCAATTATGCAACGCGTTTGGCGATGACCAACAAATATAAGACAAAAGTAAAATCAATGTCACAATCAAGTTCCATAAATAAAGCACAGCATCTGTTCAATGCTTCCAGCAGGTAAAAATTAAAATCGATTGGTATTTCCAATTCCCGCTATTTATACGTTTTATTTTTTACATTTTACATCTACTCTTACTTAATGCACTGCAATGTGCACCTCTTTGGAAACAAGTTTTTCGTCTACCGCTAAGCACTCAAAAGTGAAATCGAATGAAGAAACTTTACAAATGGTGGTGATGTCGCATAGATGCTTGAAAAGAGTATGGGCCTTTAGAAGAGAAGTATAACAATAAAGTGAGCTTGAAATGAAAGCGAAAGTTGACCATGAAATCTGTACAGAAATTCTACACGATTTGCATTTTTATGAATTTTGCGAAGTACACAGTAAGAAAGGGGCAATAATAAAAATAACTAAATTTCCAAAGCAAATACGATTTCCGCTTAAATTAAGTATATAACTTAATGTATTTATGAAACTGAAAATACTTTTGTTTGTTTGGGTCATCGCCGCGTAAGAACAAGCGTAACCGAGTGGTAAGGGGGGTTAAAATCCAAACCATTTTATAAATTGTAAATATACCTTCCATAAAATATGTAGCTATAAGGATTTTTCAATATCCAATGTCGTTCGAAAGCTACAGCGTTCAAAAGGAATGCCCGGCAGAGCTCTCAAAGGAGAACTTTAACTTTCAAACGCGCTTTTCTAAGAACCACGTCTTTTCAACTGGTAGCCACGATATCTCATCGCTTTCATATTTATAGAATGTTCAGCAAACATGTGGCTATCGTATGAACTAAAACAATTGGAATAAGCCACGTAATTGTTTTTAATTTAAGAAAATAAACAAATTGGCTTAAAACTGGTTGCAGTAAATTTATTACTCAATTAAGGTATAATTTATTCTTGGTTTAAGTTTATTGAATACTTGATTTCGCTCAAATTTTTTCTTAACGTTCTTAGTTAAGGAATTCACAAGGGGCCCAGTGTGGCCTAAGTGAGGGGATTAGTTATCTAGTCTCCAACCACACCTACCTAGTTAAGGAATTTCGTGCAAAAAAATTACTTTCTGCGTGATTTTTTGCTGTGTAGTATGTAAATATATGCCGAAGGCAGGCTTTGTGGCTAAGTTGCTAATTATCATGAGCGACTAGCCAAGCGAGAGTTTTTAAAATTGCCGCTAATCAAGTTGGAGGTCAGATCGGCAGTTGTCGGCTGTCAGTTGGCAGACTTTGTGTTACGCAACTGGGAAGAGTGTAGTCGCCCCAAACTGGATGGTCCACCAACCAGTTTCCCCGACAGGATAGCTGACCTTGCAAGCCGACAGGGTGAAAACCAGTTGGGAAAACCTCTGGTGGTATTACCTAATTCAAGCAGGAAGCGAAGTAAGTAGTCGGTTTCTTATTTTTTTAGCACTCAGTCCAATGAAAAAATACTCAGGAAGAGGCTATCCAATCTCTGGTGCTCTGATTTCTTTCACTCGCACGAACCACAGTAACAAAAATTGCATAAAAAAAACCATATGTTTTTACCTATATGGCGAATGCGGAAGTTATATATATTTCTGGTGGATCGTTCGTCGTTTGACCAGAAACTTACCGTTAACACCAGCTATAACTAGCAGCACGGCCACCAAACTCTGCCGCAACATCTTGATTCTGACAACGTGTACGGATTTAATTATATATATGCCGATTCCGGAACGAGATACTACGAGAGTGTGGGAGAGAGATAAAGAGATCGGTGCGGGCGAGACGTCCACCACGCGCAAATGCAAGCTGCCAACTGATCAAACCCCACGGCTGAGAAATTGCAAGAAGCCAACTCGACCCAGCTCTCTACCAACTCTCGGGCCAAAACCACTCGATCGGTCGTGGCCGACTGCTCAGTGGTTCACATTGCTGAACAAAGTATTCAGGAAAAAAGTAAAAAACACGAAACGAAATTGGTTGAAGAAGGGTGACAAAAAAGGCAACAGATTGGTTGGTGTTACCGAATTCCCATTACATATAGCCCTTAAATATTACCCAACTTATAACTTCCTGTATCAGAATAAAAATGTATGTAAGAAGACAATGCAATGAGCTGGAATTCTGATTGATATCCTATTATTTGCTCAATGCACATTGTGTAATAAGAGTAAAATGGAGGATTTAGTTTTGAATTGTGTAATGAAATTAGTAACTTAATGTGCTCCCTGGCTCAAAACCAATACCTGTACCTCGGCTTGTCCGTTTTGCTTTAGAGATCTGCAATACCTGGGTAGCGCCCACAAAGAAACTGACCTTTAGTCATTTTGCCTGTTTCTCTTATGAACCTAGTGTGCCCTTAAGCGTAACAGGAGGCAACCTGGCCAAACGTTTATCGTGGTTCCCTGAAATGCCGCGAGTTCGATTCTTCTGTTCTTAATTCATGATCAATGGTTCTTTGTTTAAGTATTTTTATACCCGTTACTTAAGGAGTACAAGGGTATATTGTAGTTGGGGAAAAGTGTGTTACAGGTTCTTTAAAACTAAAAAATAAATAATTTAACCTGTTCTGAGCAAGTACTTGAGTTTTAGACCTGACATATATATTATTTCTCGAGTTCTGTACCAAGTCTAGAATGACCAACCCTGGTTTCTAAGCACTGTTGTGCGGACGCCCTAAAACTATGGATTATAGGCTCCATTATTTGTTCGCTCAGTAAACAATCTCAAACTCAATCCCAAACTCAATTCACTTTCGTTTGAACTGGTTGTCGGATGATTCAACTCGACTCAGTCGAGCGGAATCGAGTGTATTCGAAAACGAAACAAAAGCCGGTTTTGGGAGGCAGAGAAGTCCGCGCATGCGTGCGCATTTCAATTAGCCCGTGGGCGAAACAATAGTTTTTTGAATGTGTGGATGTAGCGGTGACAGGGACCGATTTCAAATTATGCATATTGGCCATCCCATTATGCTGACCATCCATATGCACGACAGCCATTCGACCAACCTGCCCAAACAGTCGTCCCAGCCAACTAAACAACTTCTCGATTACCAGACGCGCTCGCATACTAATGAACTGTTAGTCGCCGAGTTCTCTTATTAGATAAGTGTACGGAAATCATATGTTGAAAATTATAAAATTCAAGGCACATCCGCGGGGTCGAAAGGATTTAATGTACACCAACATTGCATTCATCAAAGAATCTTAAGAACCACAAAATTAAAACGGCTAAAACAGAGGAAACTCTGAATGTTTTGAGTATTTGTGTTGTCAATTTTAGGGTTTACTGTTTTTCAGTACAAATTTGTGAAGAACCTATCATTGGGTATAAATTGAACCAGTGTCGGGTTCAGAACTTGGTTGTGAGAGGATATAAAAAAAATTTGGTTGAGTAGTATCAAATATTGGGAATACAATTTATATTACTTATACTTTTTAGTCCGAGTGGGGCATTTATCCCCCAAAACTTCACCAAGCATCGAAAATCCCGATCTCGGGAACAAACTGCAGCTTTCAAGTACGAATTTTCGAAACAGAAAATATTCGATTTCAGCAAGATTCCAGAACCTTTTAGTCTACAATCAAGTATGTGTTTTTTTTAAATATAGTCATATTTTGATTTAAAATAAGTTGCAGGCATGGTTTAAGGACAAATAATTCTTCAATCAATATACATAGAGTACATTTAAATTTCATGTGAATTATTGACATTACACAATAGTCCCATTGGTGATCTAGAAAGATAAATAAGAATTGAACACTGGGAATGGATAAGAACATATGGAAATTAAATTATTCTTGTATGTTTACTTACGAATTGCCGGTCATGGGCACTGAACACATTCATAATAAAGCGTTGGGAATTTTTAGAGTTGATCGTTATTGAAATCCAAAGAGTGCTCAATTCAACCCTTTGCAGTACGAACTTCCCTAAAATGTTAAGCATGAAATCGGTTTTAAACTAAGACTTCTTATACCCTAAGCTGATTTCAGTCAGAAGATTGAATTGCAGTGAAGGAGACTTTTCCGACTCCATAAGTATATATATTCTTGATCGGGATCACTTGTCTAATCGATATAGCCATGACCGTTTGTCTGTCCGTTCGTATAAACGCACGCTGAAATAGAAAAGGTCTTTGATGCTAGAAGCTTAAATATTTTGCTGAAGCGGACAGAATAAAAAATTTTAGGAAGTGTATTTATTTAGTCGAATGTACAAGCAACAAATTTACAAATTTACTTTTGAATGTTGATGGTGCGATCGCATCGACCCCTTACTTTGTTAAGATGTGTTTTTGCTTGATACTTTATAGAGTACATTCCGACGAATCTAGTATACCCTCTTACTCTACGAGAAACGATCAGGATCACTAGCCGAGCCGATCTAGCCATACCCGTCTGTCCGTATGAACGCTGTGATCTCGGAGACTATATAAGCTGCAATGCTGGGATTAGGCATGTAGATTCTATGCGTATGTTTGTTTCGTCAGTGTGCCACGCCCACTTTAGAGCCGCAAGCCGCCCAAAACTGTGGCTCCTACAGTTTTAATGCTAGAATAAAAAATTGAGCTGCATTGTATTGTTCTGATCAATACCTATCGTAGCTGGCGCATTAGAATCTCCCCTTGGTCCCTTTAGCTGAGTAACGGGTATTTTATAGCCGAGGCACTCGACTATAGCGATTTCTCTTTTTTTTTGTGTTATTCATTCTTGGTGATATTTTGCAAGAACTTAAAACACTCCCTGTAGAGCAAGGATAGTTGAAAGTTATATTTGATAGTACGGATTTGGTTGAAGTTCTATACATAGTTGGCACCATGAAGCCAGTGATGCTGCCAGTGGTTATTGCACCTGTTGACGAGAGCTCGATGAACCCAAGATGAAATTAATACTAAATGTAACGGTTCAAAGCGCGGTCGGGGACGCCCAAAATAAAACTTGACGCATCCGAATTTTCAGGGTATAATAATATTCTGTAGATCAATAAAGAACAAAATTGAAACAACATAAATATTGTCCACCGCGTCAGAAAGCTATAGCCGGAAATTTATATCATGAAGAAAGGTTTAAAAAAAAACGAAAAAATCTATTCCATTTGAGATGAAAAGATTGGTGTCCAAAAACTCTAATCAAATTAAAACAAATTTTTTTTCTTTACCATTTACAGCGAAAGTAAATTTATAACTACTTTTAGCCCAATACTGGGGCAAGGATGGTTTAAAAAGTATTTTTACATTTTACAACATTTATCGAAGGCCTTGAAATTGACTTTAAAATAATATAGAAAAAAAGGTTAGGCCAAAATATCAGGCCTTCCAATAAAACCACTTCAATGTGGTGACTCCTTATTTATAGCTGCTATGTTCAACTAAACTTTTCTCACTTTCCTTACCCCATTCTCCCCATAACAAATTTTCGTCACAAAATTTGATATCAGTAGCTTAGCATGTTGAAGGTTTTGTTTTTGTTTGACATAGTACACACAAAATAATTTGGTTGGTAAAATTGACCAATGCAGATAGTTTAGTAACTATAAAAAAATGTTTTTCACTATTTAAAAAGGTTTTATATGTATTTATTTTTGCTTTGCTTACCATTTAACAGTTAAGCTAATATTAACATAGTTACGTTCACGTTGTAGTTCATGTTGTTATTGCAATAGTAAATAGTTAATTAACTATCAAAAATAGCTTTTTTAACGTAATATTTTCCACTCAAAAGTATGCAACAAAAAATTTAATAATTTTGTTCAATGTGTTGTTTATAATTCAGAACTGGGTCTAGCGCCTCGTACACCTAGAGTCCCAAGCCAAACTCTGAAAAGTTAAGACTATACTTAGAGCATATATTCTCTAAAGTCTTCAACATACTTCCTCACCAGCTGGAAGTCACTTTTAGAAAGGCCAAATTAAAAATTACATTTTTTTTATTCTGCTTAAAAATTACCATGCTACGAGACGTATTTATGAGAGTAATTAATAATTAATAATTTTATGGATATTTATTTGCCCTAAAAAATTTAATTAATTATATTTTATGGGCTGGGTATCTATTTAAAAAGCTTTTAAACTACAATCCATTGGTTGTGTCCATTATACTCATTTTTGGTAGATACATAACTTTTTTTTTAGTAACCCTTACTTTTACATTTTACGTAAGAGTAACTATTTGATAGGAAAATTGAGAATTCTATAGTTGGGGCCGTTGTACTGTTATATTGTTCAATTTTACCAATTGATTTTATGTGTAGTATCCTCGCGCACACTCCCGGTGCGTTTCGTCACGTACGAGGACTGTCGTCCACAGTGATTTTATGTAAGTTGGGTTACTCATTTTGCCGACTAAAGAGCTTTACCCGACAGAAGACCCTTTTGGCAAAGAAAATTTAGGAGTACTGTAATACGTTCAAAATACTTAAAAAAATAAGCTGGAAATGAGTAAAATCTAACAAAACAATTTTTTATATCCGATACCCGTAGAGTAAAAAGGGTATGTTGTATTCGAGGAAAAGTATGTAACCGGTAGAAGGAAGCGTCACCGATCTCATAAAATATATTTTCTTGATGAGTAATGGGTATCTGATAGTCGAGGCACTCGACTAAAGCTTTCTTCCTTGTTTTAAATTAACAAAGATAAATAGTTTTTAAAAGTTTGGATTAATTTTGATTGAGTTTTATTTA